ACAGATCAACCTCAGCTTCATTCGTCGTGATTCGAGACGTACCTGCCCATACTCTTTTAGGGTTCATGCTCTTCGCAGAGGTCTATCTTACGGAGCTGCCTAGGATTGGCATTTGAGCGTGCAAAGAGCTATTCAATGTTCTTTGAATGCGATTTATTTTGAAAATCTTTTAAAGACCTCCATTGTGCCAAATATTTTGCATTTAACCTGGAGCGGGCACGCAGCAAAGTCTGGACTCTTTGCACCTGGTTGCACTACCTCCCGATGCAACGTAAACAAGGAAAATAAGTCGTCATTTTTCAACCGACACCCGCTGAGGAAACTGCAGCACCATCAATTGTCGTCAGTCATAGTCCAATTCAGTTCATTTTTATCAAGAGCAGTATCAGGTGAACGCATATGAACTCCCTATTGGTTACAGTAACATGACAAAAGGAAACTACCGATGTATACAGTCATTTTACGATACAATTATAAACACACTATTACTCTAAAATATGGAGTAGCGTGTTTTAAAACAGGTAACTTTCGGAGGGCAGTGATACAGGGAGAGGCATGTGTTAGTTTTTGATGGCGTACTGGTACATATGGTTATACTGGTCAAGCTTCCCCTTACTCGTGTCTGCGGATGAAGATGTCCGTAGGCATAGAATTCAATGCCCGAATCACTCTTAGACAATCATGTCTTTTAGCGCGCGTACCCCTGACCTCAATAGTACTGCGGTCTTTAACAGTCCACAGTCTCTAGGTTTGAGGGACAAATTCTAATTGCGGTCGCGTGAAGATCCCGAAGACCTTACCGAAACTTCACAATGGCGCGTTTCCTTGGATACGAGCTTCAAATTTCGGATGTGGCTGCTTTCAAGTAGTGGAACGATGCCTTCTGCGAGAGCGTAATCTACAATTCTAGATCCTTCTGAGTCTCTACTTCTGGAAATGGTGTGTGAGTCTGATAGTACATCCTACGGCGCATTGTGCTAGTTCTGCCAATTTGTAGGATGTTGTATTTGGGTAAAATTGAATAAGAGACACCAGCGGTTCGACCATCGCTCGAGTCCATGTAAGTTTGCCTGTAGATTTGCTTCATCATTTTCGTTGCGGAGAACGTTTCAAAGCTTTGTGTCGTCAGCAAATATGGCGATGTTGCAGTCCAACGCACTTGGCTTCATCGCAAAAAGCTCATCAAAATCCCTGATGAATTTGCAAGCAAAGCCATCCTCGGCCTAGTTTTGTTGTCTGACCGTTTCAACTCCCTAATCCGCACAACTGCAAAACTTGACTCAGCAGCTTACGCCAAAGTTGCCTACTCCCCCCCCCTCCCCCCTCATAGAGTTTGCCTTTTGGCAGTTGGATTTTTTGATGTTGTAGCCGCAGGTCTTGTATTCACTCTCGCTGCCCCTTTTTTCTCCAATCTCCTTGTCTCGTCCTCTACCGTAATAGAATTCTCGAACCTGCTAGACGGCCAGTTATAATGCCTTTCCTCGGTTACTGTCTTCTGCCCATTGCTAAGTCGCAATACTGACGTGTGCGCAAACT